CCGTGGGACCCGCTCCACCGCCGCTCTCGGAGCCCGACGACTCGCTACCTTCGCCTCTCTCGCTGATCCTGTCTTCCCTCTCGCGAGAGTGCTCGCGCTCGCGCTGATGGTGCGCCGGATGAGGCGTGTCAGGGCCCACGACGTCCAGAAGCTTGTCCTCGTCGTCCAGCAGGTCGTTGACGGAGTTCGAAGAGCGTCGCTTTTCGGGGGACGCTGGCCCACCTGTTGTCAGACGGGAACCGCCTCCTGACACTGTCAACAGCGCCTGCCTTCTGCAACAACGACGCAGAGTTAGCAATCTTATAAGGCCGGTTTCGCCGCGATTTTATTTTGCCGGGCTACACGAGGGAGGGGCATCCTTTCGATAGAATCGCGGACCTCCAGGCGCGAGACCACCGCGAACACGATTAAAGATACGGGAATAGTTTTTCGGCTGCAGAAGAGTTTGATCGGATCTCGCGCGATGTCTGTCGGAAAGTAAAACGTAGACAGGTTCCTCGACGTTTTATTAGCTTACGAATTAGAAGTATATCGTCGGAAGAACAATACCATATTTAGGAACACCCTTTTTAACGCGGAAGAGAACTCGTAGACGCCAACGCGGAAACGACCACCGTAATGCTGGCAAATTTCTGCGTTTTACGCCGTGAGAGTTCACAGCCGTAATAAAAGTTTACGACTGTTTCAGTGCAACGTTAAATATTTCCTTTATCCCTTAAAGAATATATGATCGTTTTTGCGACGATCGCCGTTAGTAATTGCTCCGCGGTTGTTCGAACGCATGCTTCCCTCCGGGTCTTACGCTGTAGGTAACTGGAATGGCTTCGCAAATTTCTGAACGACGTTTTCGAACCGTTGATCGCGTACTCGGAATCCAATAATTGCTACGCGACACCCTAAAACAGCTCGACGTTCGTCCCTCGGTCGACGCGTTTCGCACCTCCGACAAATTACAGACGTTTTAGCTGTCGCGCGTAATCACTGTGCCACCGTTCGCACGGTTGTTATCCCTAGGAACGCGCGTGGAGCGTACAACGTGTCATTAGGTCGATCGTATCGTCGTGGCTTCGTGTAGTTCGCGATCGAAACGTTGAATCAAAAATTTATCGCGAAATAATTCTACCCTCGTCTCTCGAGTAAACTCACTTTCGCTATCTAACGCGATCGCTTCGATCCGATACTATCCTATTCTATAAATTCTTACATTCATTCGTACGTATAAATCGCACCGGGGATACCAGTAGCAAACTGATGCACTTCAAAACAATCACGCGCTTCAATTTTCAAACCAATTTTCTTCGAAAACCTTGGCAATCCAATTTCCAGAAACCACTTTCCCTCGTAAATTTCTGTCGCGCAATTCCCAGGCCAATTTATATCGAAACCAATTCTGTATTCCAATTTTCGAGTCGTCGTACTTAAAACGGTATTTCCGTTCACGAAGTTCCGCGAACATCGAAGTTCGCGCTGGAAACCAATTCGCCCCGTAAACCGCATCCATCTATTCCGCTCGAAACTTCGATTATTAAACGAATTTCTTGAAAAATCCATCGTGACCCGTACGCATCGTTTATCCCGTTTCGACGTTTTCGGATTCGTCTCGAGCGGATCGAACGTTCGACGCGATAACTTTGGCGATCCGACCACGATAAGTCCGCTGTTCGCGATCGATTTTGCGCGACGAATGCCACACACGTCGCGTTCCCGTCTCCGGCATCGAAGGAACCGAGCAAATTCATTCGGCGATGCCGAGATTATCTTATTATCTCGATGCACGACCGTGTCCCGATGAGAAATCGAGGGACGAAGGGGGTGTAACGGAACGCGATGCAAATCGAAGCGTTTCAACGAACATATCGAACAAACGTAAGCATCGTGTAAGACTCTGGCAGAGCCGTTCGAAAGCCGGACGTAATGACAGGCTTACCGATACCTTAATGCCGTGTAATGCGATCAATGCACCGACACAACCGTGACAAAACGACGGCAAGGTGAGAGAAAGAGCGAGACAGACGCACACCGTGTACATCGTCGATGTCGTACGGACGAATCCGTGAAGCTCGAAAGGGTGTTACGCTACGGTTCTCCGGTTTCCGACGCGCTTAAGTGCGAGAGTACCTTAAAATCAATAGTTGCGTGGCCGACACACAGGTACTTGCTCGATGCTGACCGACTACCTTCCTTTGCTTTTAGTTGTGCACCGCTGATCTTTCGATCGCGATGTTTCTCCGCTGTCGACTGCTTCCGAGCTGAATCGAGCAGGGAGCTTCGACGTTTACGGAACTGTTGTCTACCTAATCATAGGTAGTAACGGAATTTAAGTATATCGCGAGTTCGTCCGACTGGATAATTTCGAACAGTGTGCACTTTCCGAAAGAGAAGCGATATTGGCAAGTAGATTGGATCCAAGCGTAGAATTCGTGAGTACACTCGATCCTTGGTACGATTGCAACACTAGCCTTTCAAATTCTGTACACGTAGTAAATTAGCTGCACAGAACGTGCAATTGAGAAAATACAGTTTGTCGCCACAAGATGATAAGTTAGGATACGAGACAGATAAAGCGTCGACGTTCTTTTTTAAACCCTAAACAACGGCATGAAAATCTCACGATTATCAGTGAAACGCTTGTTCGATTGATTCAACTGTTTCCACATGCGAGTTGGATGAAGTAATTGGATTCACTAGGTGTGCTTCGGTCGTGCACGCGACTGCTCCAGTTTCAAACCGGTTGACAACACTTGCTTTCGAGCGCGATATCAAATTTTTCCTTCCAACGTCGTTACTTCCTTCTCGTAGATCTTAACTCTACCCGATACGTCGAACGCACAAATGAATCGGAATCTCGGAGTAGACGGAGCTAAGCATCTACGGGCGTAGGCATCTGCCGATAGTATCTCGCTTTTATGGCCCGCGTATAAAAGTCTGACGAGAACGGAGAAGAGAAAAATAACGAGCAATATGCGAAAACGTCGAACCACCATCTTCTCGAATCACGGTAACAAATTGCATCTGTTGCATTTTGTCCACGAATCGAGTATCAGCTACTAAATTGAACTCCGTAAGATGCAAGAAGCGATTGTTGAAACGTTTATTCGATCACCTGTACGGAATTGCTGATAAAAGTGCTCGAACAGCGCAAAAACCGTGAACAGCAACGCGTCAATCTCGAGTGGACCGCTTTCTTGCGGCAATTTCTCCGGATAATCGCGAGAGCCGGTAATATCGATCACGATTCCGGTTAATATCCAACCTGTCTGCCCGTTTTGGCAAATTGCACCCGGTTCGACTTTCCACCGATGAATTATACATTTAGAGGAAATCGATCGGCCGCGGTAATTGAACTATTTGAAAAGTCGCCGCTGAATTATCGAGCGATACGCGGCTCGATCGGTACTACACTCCGTTCGGGGAATCCCTTTGATCCGTATTCGACCACGTGTTCACGGTCTTTGTCTCCAGCGCGGTGCAACGACCACTCTCCGTTTTTCCGTCGATGCGACCGGTTCGCGTTTCTTAGCTTTCACCGCGTCGCTAACGCGTTACGCACCGCCTGGGTCATCGCTGGCCCGTGCTAGTTACGCGAAATAGACACTCTCTTCTAAATCTGTCGACGAGGCGCTTCCAAAAATTCGCAAAAAATTCAAGAATAAAATTTCTCTGCACCTACTCTGCATCGACACCAATTTTTTTTGGAAACCGACGTAGCCACCCTCTGCGCTGGCTCGTTAGGAACGAGGGTGATGCGTTCGCGAGGCAAAAAACGAGTCAAAGGTCCCGTATAATTTTGCCATAATTACGGGACGTCTAGGTTGCTCATCGAGTAGGCTGTAGTCTCATTCGATGATCGACTGTTCAGACAGAATGAAAATTCAGCCCCCGTTCAGGCCTTTGACGTTCGACTATCGGTGTCGTCCCACCCCTGTGTGTCATCGTCGAGGATTTGCAATCACCCCTCGAACCGCTGCTTTTCCCGGGGCCCTCGTGCCGGCGCAACGAACCCCGGCCACGTTTTTTATTTTCGCCACCCCTGAAAACGCGCCACGGTACGCGGAATCATTCCCTATGAAATTTCTGGCCTCGATGATTCCCGGCGAACCGTCTTAATGGATCGTTGACGGTGAAACGTCTTTCCGACGGTAGTTTCGATGATATCGTTCGACAGGGGTGAATCTGTTCCGAACCGCGATGACTACGGGGATGAATTTTTTCTCTCCCCCTCGAGGAATAATCTCCCTTCCAACGCTGTGTCGTTCGAGAACGATGATGTCGCGAGAAAATTGAACAAGTCGTAAATTTGAAATTGCGGTAGACACCAAAGTGCAGTTTCGAATGACAAGTAATCAAGGGGAAAAATATTTCGAATGACTCTATTCGATACGTTCACAGAGGAATAATATTATGTGCATAAATACCGCGAAACAGCGGGATGTAGTAATTAATGAAGAGAACCGTGGAAATCTATTCTCGGACAGATTGATTCTTTGCGCACCGCGATACGGTCGTTCCGGCGTGCCCCGTGATAAATGGACGTGACAGCGAGGGGGAAGTGGCTTCGTTTTTTCTTCGGAAATATGTTTCCTTCTAAACGGCACGTCGAATCGACTCGTCACACTTGAGTCGCATAGCGTCTCGTGACCAATGCATCCGTACCCCTTTGTTAAGAACTTGACGAAACAATAAAACATCCGACCCTAATCGATGTTTCTGCAATTTTCTATTTGTCTCGTTAAATCCTCGAACTATCCCGATGAATAATTTTAAAATTAATTATTAATTGGAAGCACGACAATGTAACCGTATGAAAAGTCCGCAGCACGGTAAAAGGAAAAAAGAGCGAAAAGAGGGAAACGAACGAGGCCTAGTACGCCGGAAGTGGATCCCCCACCACCGAAGCACCCTTTTATACGCCGGTTACTGGCTGTAGCGACGATATAAAATTCAAAGCCACCAAGTGGCACCCTCCACGCTAACGACAGCGCCGCCCCTGAGCATCAGTATGCTAATCCGATGATTGGCTATGTTCCAACCCCGTTCTCTCTTCTTCTCTTCCTGTCTCTATCTCTCGCGGCTCCATCTCCTGGTTCTCTGCGGCTTCCTGATGGGATCCGGCCACCCTTAACCGAGAACCATAAGCCAAAACTAACCCTTATTCTAATTAGGCGGCGCCACGACGCGCCCCCTGCTTTGCATATTTTCTCGATTAACCTCGCCCTTTCTTTATCCGGTCGAGCGTTAGGCGTTGCTTCAATTTCCGCGGAATTTTCTCGACCTACCCCTTCCCCCGTCACTTTTTACAACCACTACGGGCATTTATCTAAGGAGCGATTCACCACCGCGTAAATTTTCCGCTACAAGTTTACCGCTCGGCAAAATAGTGGACGTTTATCGGCGAATAAGAAACGAGGGTGATTTGTCGGTTGCGGAACGAACGCTTTGCGAATCGACTACGCACCGTAATTTGTCAATGGTCAATAAGAAGAAAAAGTTAAAGAGCCAAATAATCCGAGATAATCCTACAGCACGAATAACGAGTACCGCAACCCTTTTTCGATGGCGGACGTCTTCGCGAGTCACGTCAGCGCACCTGAATGAGCCGACAATGCCACTGGTGGTACGAACAAATTGGAGAAGCTTACACGGGCTTTAGGAACGGCGATAAGCGTATAACGAGGATTACAGCGAGGTTAACGAGGCTGCCACGAGGCCTATGCATAGCAACTGAACTTAACATCGTCAGGATCCACTCGAATCCACCCCCAGGCGCGACCAATGAAATTGAAATGGTCGACCCTCCTCGCTGTAAGCTCATAAAGCCGCGATATTGAATACAAATGGACGATACCCGGCGGCCGACCGACCAGGGTGCAAATGAGCCCCGTGAAAGCAACCCCTAACCCCGAGGGCTGACCTCGAGCTCGATACCGCCGACCGTAATAGCACGGATCGAGGGAGAGAACGGTCGACGATCAATTAGGCTCGTATCTCCAAGACAAGACTATGCTGAATTGCTTTTCGTTCCACGGGCTGGCTTCTCATTGGCTGCCCTGCTTCTTCGAATGGGCCGCGTTACCGCTCTGTTTAGCCGATCAAAATAGTTTGCAGGGTGAAAAACCGAAGGTGAGACGAGGTTAGATCCCCTTTTAAAGGGATTGGAATTGTTCTTCCGACAAAAGTTCAAAAAATTTAGCATAATTTTGAAAGCGATACTCACTTTTTCTCGCGCTTCCCCGCGCCCGTGTCCCGGAATCCTTTCGCGAAGGGGTTGTTGTCGATTTTCAACTGCGTGATCTGTGAACAGAGGACAATTTGCGATAAAATATAAATCCCGCGAAACGATTCGATCCGTGTTACAGGGAATCGAGAACGTTTCGGAACCGTTCCGAAAAAGATCCACAGAAACGATATCCTTGTTCCGGCGCCCCCACCGATACCGGGAAGAAGCCGATAAAGAGGGGGCCAGGAATCGGACGACGAAAAATTCGTACAAGGGGTCCTTTTTGCTACTTCGAGAATAACGCGTACCAGGAAGCACGGGGCTTCCTCGAACCCCGTAATTAAAGTCTGCCGAGAGAAACGAGAAACAAAGGACGAAATAAAAATACGCCACTATTACCATATTTCATCGAGTTCGAAAACGTATAAATGCACGGTTAAAGTATGAAACGGAGAGAAGGATAGTAATTTTGAGCGATAACTGAAAGCTGAATTTTCAAATCGATTCCCATCAACGTTATTAGCAACTAACCGACGAATAATCGCGACATGTAATTTCGATACCCCTCCTAATTGGCTTAGCGCGTCGTATCATCGTGATTTTTCGCTCGATTTTTTCATTGTAATTTCGTGAACGAATAATGAAACTTGTTAATTAAAGGGATCCGATCCAGTCTGCTCGTTAATTACTACATTTTCTTTAATTAATTCAATTCATTTTGATACGATACCGCCAATTTCCACTAAACATCGATAATTAGTGCGCAAAAGATAATAACTCGATAATAACGTCGTAGCGAAGAAACGTTTATGTTTCCTATCACTTTTATCGCGCTATCACTGACACAATAATATACCTAGAATAATTTGTGTTTCGTGCAGATTCGCGTAACAAATGTTGTACGATTTACAGGAAAATAGGGGTCGATAACCGTGCTCGCTGTACGATGTCGACACGGTAAGTTTCTCTGGGGAAAATGGCGATTTGGACGAAGAGGGTATCATAGCGTGCGATGGGATTTCGTCGACTGCAGCTAGGGGAAGAATAACTTTTCTAGCAAAACAACTTACGACCGACAACATTTCGTAGGCTCGGCGAAAAATCTGCATAACGCTAAAAGTCCCGAAAGCCTCGAAACTTTATCGTATTCCCGTTTTTCGCGAACAAAGAAGAAGCAAAAAGACGAAACCGGTGGCTCGAATCGAACAAAACCGCCTGGACCAACAAAGGCCAGATCGATCGCGATAGAACAAAGTATAAAATTCTGAGGATCCTAACGAGAGTTTTCCCCCATGGTATTCCACGAACAAGTATGACGAGTCCGGAAACAGGAAGCCGACGTTCACTCACCTTCTCGTTCTGATAGGCGGTCACCGCGATGAATTCCGTCTCCTTGAAAACGTAACTCCTGAACGTCGAGTAGGGAAGCTTCAGGATGTCGTTGGCCCGCACCAGATGAAACCTCGGTTGGTACTTGTGCATCGAGTTCAATATCGTCTGAAACAACGAGCGGAGCATACATTGGGACAGACTGTTTCAAAACGCAGAGCCCGTGCTCGCAATCGTTTCACTCCTCTTTCGAGTGGCTTTTCAACGAAGATCGACCTACGTGTCTTTATTTGTTTTTGGCATTTACGCGAGGTTAACTCTCCGCGGTTGTGTACCTCGAAGCTTCCAGTTGCGACGCTTCGAAAGCTACAAATCGTTAAACTATCAACTGTTAAATGAACGCTAAGTTATCGTATCGTGCATCGTGGCATAATAAACGAGTAAAGTTCGAAGGGGAAAAAAGTAAAGAGGGAGAAGGAGGAAAGCAGGGGAGAAAAGATAGAAATCCTAATCAGAGTTTATCATGCTCGTGATTATTTCGCAAAGCGGTATAATCGTTGCTCGAGTTGCATCATGCAGCGCTGATCGGCTCGTAAACTCGTATTAAAGCTCATCTTTACGTTCTCCGTCTTCATCCGACGATGACGATTCTCGATTTTACAAGAAATAAACGCGAAGGTTACCGAAACTTCTAATTGGATAACTTCGAGTCGAATTCGAAGCTTCGAACGGCAAAGCTCCGCGACCTCGATGCTAAAAATCGTGAGGTATCGCGACCCCTAAACTGAAAGTTGCGAAACCACGCGATTAAGGTATGTTTACCTTCTATTCGTAATAATCGTTATCGCGAAAAATCAACGACTGTCCGTTAAAAGTATAAACTACGGAGCTTAAAAGGAAAAAATGTTGCGAACGGAGAAGGAACGACGAAGGTAACCTCTGTTTTTAATGGCGGACGCTTTCAGAGCGATTCGATGGCGAATAAAACGAATCGATTCGCTTTTAGTCGCTCTCTCGGAGGCGATGCAAATGCACCGCGGTGGCAGTAGTAGCTAACAAGATTGCAGAGGACATTCCATCGAGAAATGGACGCGCCTCTGCTGGTAAGTCTCGATAAATCTACGTTCCATTCGGGAATCACGGTAATTACGTAGTGGAATTTTCGTAATGGAGAAACCGGCAGTCATCATTTTACTCTGTACGTCACCGATTCTAAATGATTCTGCAATTTGACGAATGATCAACAAGAAATATGCGCTCTTCTCCTTCTTTATCTCGAACATTTATTCGCGTTCGTTCGGATCGGAGATTTTCCTTCGAACGAAACCGATAGCGGAATAATTTCAACTTACGCAAGTTTCGTTAAATTCGCGTGGAAGTTCGTTCGAAGCGTCGATTAATTATCCTTAGAGCGCGTTCGCTTTCACCGCGGCGAAGTGTCGAGAGCCAAGACTCGTTCGATCGAAAGATTCCATTCGGAGAACCATTAAATATCGCGAAACGGAAAAAAATTTCAATCATTTTATCAGGAAACAAAGGATCGACGAAAGTTCACGGGAGTGTCGTGGAAAGCAAAGTCCCCGGTCGTGTTCGAGGAGGGAAAGAGGGCAAAAGGTCCCGCGATCGCGATAACCAGAAGGCAAAAAGAGAAACTGTATCCAATTGGACGACGAGGAATCCCTGGTTCGCGTTGATCAGGCAATAAATAAAACGCGGAGCGAAACAGTTGGTGGTCGATGCGTGGAAATCGTGATCGTACGAAAGAAGCTGTTGGCCCGCGACCGTCGCCATTATGCGCGGCTCCGCACAAAGGAGAAATAATTAGCGCTGCTCAGCCGATAAGCCGGCCAATCTAGGCGTTTGTCATTAGCCTATCAAACTCTCTCTCTCTTTTTCTCTTCGATTCGTCTCCGTTCGCGCCCGCGCGTTATCTTCTTTCTCTGAAACTCGAGGCATCGACACGCCTCCGACGCCGCGGAAAGTATGTGCGAACTCCGATCGTTGCAATTAGTATCTTCGTGCTGATTAATGCGGAGAAGTTCTTTCTCGAATTTTTCGCCGACTCTCGTTCCGCAATTAGAAACGAATTCGTTCGGCCGAATCGGTCACCGGACGTAGCAGAAGGATAATACGATATTAATTTTCGTATCTAAGTTTCAATCGGTGGTATAGCGCTAAAAATCGTTCGAAAGACATTCGTTTGGTTACACCGGCAAATAAACTCATCGACAGAACGTTCGAAACCAAAAGCAGGAATAAATGAAGAGCCGTTCCAATACCTGATCCGCTCGTATACACCAAAACCCGGGACCCTAAGAAACAAAAAACGCCAGAAGGATCATCCTCGAAAAAGAAAGAAGAAGAGAAAGATCTTCAGAACGAGCAAACGACGACGGTGTCAATAGCGAGGAACTCTCGAACAGAAGTGGACGGAAACGTAGAGGGAGACCTGGCACCGAAACGACTCGGCCAACTTACATGCATACGCAAATACATACGTACGTAGGTGTATTCGTGCCGCGTGAATTGACCGTCCAGATAAAATGGTGGGAGGTGGAGAAAAGAGAAAGAGAGAAAGAGAAGGGAGTCGAGGAAAGTGAGAGAATATCCTGGCGGACACAGAAGCCGACGCTGCTAATGACTCTGTCCGCGGTAATCTCCGGGTGTTATCTGTCCTGGCTACCTGGGGCCCACCTACTTCGAATCACGAAGCTGCACACGCTTCTGCCTCCTTTCCTGCCGCTCAACCGCTTCTCTAACTCGCGTATACTCTTCCATCGGCGCTCTGGACAATCCTATCGACGAATTTTCCGCTTCGCTAAACACCCACGAACCATCTCCTTTCGTCCGTATCGCTCTCTGTTCTCGACCGTTCGGTTTGGACGACCGCCAGTGAAAAAGGTTCGCTAAGATTGCGAAAAATTGGCCCGAGTCGATTCGGTAATCCGTCTCCCTCGTCGGTCCAGCGAAGTCGACTCGTCGTAGGCGTGATTTCGCGTCTCGTCGCAACGAACTCCTCTGATCAAATTTTCGTGTCGCGAGGAAGCACGGTACGCGAGCAAAAACACGATCCTCGTTAACGGGCAAGCTCGACGCGAAAGAAAGCCGTAGCGCGCGCTAGAAAAACGAAGAAAGGAAAGAAAGAAAAAAAGAGAAGCTCTCTTGGCTCGTTTCTGTGGCTGTGTGCACCGCAAACTAACTGCGCACAGTTGCCTTATGTACGGACTCTAAGTAATCCTCGAACCATCAGCTAACTTCTTAACCCTCAAAGTGAAAAGGGCCGCCTCGAGCTGCGTCTTGGCACGACAGAGAAGAAGAGGAGGTGGAGGAGAGAAGCGTTTCGAGGGTCTCTTCTTTTGTCTCTGCGTTTGTTCGCTGCCGAGGCTCGACTCGCTTCTTCCGCCGCGCGAGTTTCCGC